TGATGTCGATGTCTCATCAGGGGATCCCCACCTCCTGTCTCAGCACCAACTTCTTAATGAGTGGTAATCACGTGAACGGCGGACACATTCACAACTCGTATTTGCCTCACGTCGACAGTAAGGCAAACATATCACCGCAAATATTTTGAAACCTATCGCACCATTTGTTGTAAATATATATTATTATATATACAGTAAATATATATAAAATGAAAAAAGTGTACAATAAAATTTGTAAAGCTAATTCTATAGTATATTAGACGACTTGTTTCACATATTTATAATTGTATAACATTTCGTAAATCGTTAACTTACCGTAATTTGAGAGTCATAAAATGAATATCAGGTGATAAATCCCCAAAAACAAAACTCAAAAATATAAATATTTATAATTTTCTTCTTTTTTGCAAATGAATCCCATTTTCCCGTTGAATGCAATGAAAAACTAAAAAGTCTTATAAAATGAATGACACAAATAATACGAGACTATAAGTCAATATGAATTAGACAATTGAATGAATACGATATGCTTTTGGATCAGTTGTTCACTCGAAGATGAAAAACGTTTTTATAAAAAATAAGACAAATTTTTTGACAAAACTTCGCTTTCACTAAAGAATGGCTAAAATTTCCAGTTTTCCAAACATTTATCTTAAATCCTAATGAATAGAAAGGCAGCGAAGAATATAATTAGAAGATTTGTAATTAATTTTAATTGATTTCAATTGAATTGCATTTTTAAACATTTCGATTAAGATATCATATAATCTGCTGAACAAAGTGTATAAATATTAACATATTGTAAAGCATTTAGCAATTGAATGGCATTAAACTCTCAGTATTTTACTTATAGTCCACTATTTAGTCCAAAAAACAAAACTCAAAAATATAAATATTTATAATTTTCTTCTTTTTTTTGCAAATGAATCCCATTTTCCCGTTGAATGCAATGAAAAACTAAAAAGTCTTATAAAATGAATGACACAAATAATGCGAGACTATAAGTCAATATGAATTAGACAATTGAATGAATACGATATGCTTTTGGATCAGTTGTTCACTCGAAGATGAAAAACGTTTTTATAAAAAATAAGACAAATTTTTTGACAAAACTTCGCTTTCACTAAAGAATGGCTAAAATTTCCAGTTTTCCAAACATTTATCTTAAATCCTAATGAATAGAAAGGCAGCGAAGAATATAATTAGAAGATTTGTAATTAATTTTAATTGATTTCAATTGAATTGCATTGAATTATATTTGCTTTAAATTATGAATTTATGAAAATAAATACATTTATATAAGAAGACTATAATTTGTGTTTCATTTAAATTTAATGGTGATTTGCAATCAACACATATAAATATATTATAAATTATATAAATAATGATTTAATTTTTACTTATTATTATATAAAGTCAGAAAACTCCTTAAATAAAGCAAATGATTTGATTTTAAACTAATTGATAATTATAATGAAAGCTTTACTTCCTTTTAAAAATCTAATGAAATTATATTATTATATAAATAACAAAATACTAAAAAATTGCAAATAAAATGATTAAATGAAAAATTAAAACATTTTGTGCTGTATTTAAATTGAAAAACATTAAAACACAGAAAAAACAAATTAATTTATTAAATAATTGTTTTCTATATATTGTGAAAAGAGTAGAGCAGAGAAAGTAATGCATAAAAGGGTGCGTTTAAGTCAAGAATTGATGTGAGAATTTGTTGTGACATTTTTAGGGTTTACGGTATATATAGGAGAAACCAATGAACGGCTTTTGAAAAATGGGAAATTTCAAGCGGATGACAGCCTCGGCCTCCACTTCACTACTACTTTGCCAAACAGTGACGCAAAAATCAATGGATTTGATGCGACGCCACAAAAGTTTAGACAAGAGATGTGATGCCAGAGCGAGAGCGAGAGCGAGAGAGAGAGAGAGANTCTGCCGTTCATTAAATATATATAAAAATTATTTTTAGTGTTTGTTATTATATTTCCTGTAATATTGACACAATAAGTGCTGAGAGCGGGGAGAGACTGAAGAGAGAAAGAGGAGAGAGAGAGAGAGAGAGAGAGAGAGAGAGATGTTTGTAAAGCAAACGAGACGATAGTAAGTGGAGTAAAGGATGATAGGCAGGCCAGGGATGCCAACGATGGCAGAGATGTGTTCAATCTTTCAAGTCTTGCCAAACAGAGAGAACACATCTTGAATTAGGAGCAGAAAAAAGAGTCGATCTTTACATTTGATGGCATATCACAAGAGCAGCAAATATGTTGAGAATAGCGATGCGATTGTGATTGTGATAGCAATTCGCTGAGTGAAGCAATTCTTTGCAATTCTGTAATGCACTGAACAATACCAACACTACCACTACATCCACACTACCAGAGCTACCACTGCCTCCAGTCCTACCAATTCTACCCAACAATATATCTCTCCTTTTATTTTTGCCTAAAGATTGTATTGCCGTTAGAAAAGTGTATAACAACTACTCGAAAGCAAACGTCTAAATAAAATGAAATTCTCTTTCCCTCTCTCTCTCTCTCTCTCTCTCTCTCTCTCTCTCCTCTTTCTCTCTTCAGTCTCTCCCCGCTCTCAGCACTTATTGTGTCAATATTACAGGAAATATAATAACAAACTTCCACTTACTATCGTCTCGTTTGCTTTACAAACATCTCTCTCTCTCTCTCTCTCTCTCTCTCTCTCCTCTTTCTCTCTTCAGTCTCTCCCCGCTCTCAGCACTTATTGTGTCAATATTACAGGAAATATAATAACAAACACTAAAAATAATTTCTATATATATTATATAATGAAATAATTATTTGTATTCATTTGGAAATGAAAATATTCTTTTAGGGAAAATTAAAACTCAAAATAAAATCTTTTGTCACTTTAAGACGTTTAGAGATTAATCCAATGATTGTCTAATCAAACAGTAGTTGTGATGCGATTTCTTCGTATCGTATAATACCGTTGTCTTCGCGAGCGATGATAACTTCGACGTCGAGTTTGTGTCACTTTCTTATAGATAATTGTGTTGTTATTGTTATCCGTTATTTCATTGTCAACAAAAGCTAAGCGAAAGATACTCTCGTATTTTTTCTTCTCTACCATACTATACACTCTATATATACTTGCCATATATGTCTTCTGCACTAGTGAACATGTTGTTTAAATTAGTTGTTTAAGATAAGATTTCCAGTTGTCTTCCAATGTATATCGCATTAAACATACCTTCCTTTCATTCGCCACTCTTTTGCTTTCAACAAATCGTGTCTTTTGATACACTTTGCAGAGGGCTTTGTAATGGTGTGAGGGTCTAGACATGTGCGGGCATTCGCTGGCCGGAGCGCCGATCCGATAGGTTTGTAGGCCTATGTAGTTACCGCCGGGTGCATAATTACAGGTGTAAAGTTGTGCCACTTTGTACATGGAATTGGGAACGGCATACGAGACGTATCCACACCCGACCTTTTGTGTGTCAGCCCACACAACCTTTTTTTCAGTGCAGACATAATATTCAATATAATTAGATAACAAAACACATTCATAGACTCGTTTGGCGGTATAACCAATCGATAGGAGAATACGAGTATATATTTCCTATATTTAATACAATAGTTTTTCGGTACTGTTTGAGCGAAAAATTGCTTTTTTATGTCTCAATATTTCTATTTATCCTTTGATTTATGTTTGCGTAAAGAATTGCTATGCGATTGAAGGTCAGGAAAATTGGATATAAATTCGGTATAAATTGTATTTAAAGCTGTTTTAATGATGATTATTGAATTTATTAGAGACAAACATCTTGTTATGGCTTATTATAGATGACGAGCCGTTAACTCAATTTAGCCAATAATATAATTTCTTTATTGAATTGCTTTTTCACTCACTTAGTTATTGAGCCTCAAAGTAAATGACACTAAAATATTATTAAATTAACTAAAATTATTTAATGTTTTGCTTCTGACAACATCTCAATAACCAGTTGCCGACCACAAAGACATGATGTGTTTCTTTCAGCGATCTTTAACTCCACATCTGATTCGCAACATATTATATCAAATGAAATGTTTGATTAATTGCGATATCTATTCATTTATTATCTCAAATCACTAATAAATTCAATCGATTGCCAGCTATTTATGCAATTAATCATTCGTTAACTATTTATATAACTAATATTGTTGTGATTTGTGACACAACTCTATTACTTTCTATCATTAATACATGTTTTTATAAATGTCATTAACTTATTCTGTATGTAATTTATATAAAATTTGCAATAAATTATAATGTCTTATATAAAAACAATTTCCCGATAATTCTTAATACGATAACAAAAGGGAAATATTTCGCAATATTTTGTATCAAATAACGCATAAAATATATTGAATTTGTAAAAGTTATTGAATTTATCGACTTATTTGAAGTGAAACCCAAGTATTTTGTTAACAATAAATGTTTCGCATAGAAAAGTCTTTTCAATATATAGCAAAAATGTGTGGTTTATTTCAAAGCAAAGATATATAATATTTTACTCTGTATTTAATTTTTGCAATTTTAAAAAATAAAAGAAAGTAATTTGTAAATTAATTTACACAACTTAATTGTAATTATAGATTGATATGAATGGCTTACTTGTGTAAAGTGGCCGATATTGAGAGAACTGGCCTCAAACTGACTGACAATACTATTGGGTGCTATACTGAGCTCGTCGTACCACAACTGGATAGCGTATTGCCATCTGTTTCGCACCGATAGACGTGATGTTCGGTATAGGAATATATTCTGACCCACAGTCGCGTATCTTTCTATAAAAATGTGGGTGCTATACTGAGCTCGTCGTACCACAACTGGATAGCGTATTGCCATCTGTTTCGCACCGATAGACGTGATGTTCGGTATAGGAATATATTCTGACCCACAGTCGCGTATCTTTCTATAAAAATGATTTAATAGTGTATCATTAAATAAATTATTTTATTAATTAAGCCATTATTGAATATACAGGACATACCAGTTCTGCGGCATTGATAGCAATCGTGCTGAAAGAGGCACTGAGAGGCGTGTGCCTGGGCTACGGCCGCCAACTCGTCGTCCCACTCGAGCACAAGCATATTGCCCGCCGACGGGAACCCTCTGTTGGTCTCATTGCCGCTCGCAATGGAGTTTCGCAACCGATTATGTGTTGCTATTATAAGATCGATGTCGTAACTACTGACCCCAGACTTTGACCGATATTATTATTGATTGATTAATATTAGTTAACATTAGTTTAGAGACCGAATTAATAAATGTATATTGATACTTACTTTAATAGTAAGGCAATCACTCTTAGGTTGTTTGCAAGCCGTGTGATTCTCATCGTATTTCAGGTAATTATTGTTACAACTTTCCACAAATCTTTGACTACATTTTGTACAACTAATGGCAAACAAAATTAAAAGTAAATTTAATTTTATAGATATATCTCTCAAACAAAAGTAATTATATGATAAGATTGAGTGGCAATTCGTTTGTTTCATTATCGGAACTAATGGCCTAAAAGTGGGATTACATCTGGAAATGTGTGATGGGATGACATTTTATAATTAGTACAACTCTCTTAAAAGTAATTATATGATAAGATTGAGTGGCAATTCGTTTGTTTCATTATCGGAACTAATGGCCTAAAAGTGGGATTACATCTGGAAATGTGTGATGGGATGACATTTTATAATTAGTACAACTCTCTAACCCTTTCAATATTTGTAAATTTTATAATATTTTCCATGAGATCGTGTGGAGACAGGCGTTCAGCTAATCCAGACATCACCACAACCTCTAGAGTTTGGTATAATTTTTCAAATGTCTGCGTTTGAAATGATTAACAAAAATAAAAGATTTTTCAAGATTTGAGAATTGATTTGCTGTCAAAATAAAGATTTTGTATTTAAGCCTTTATTTGAATGCCTCTCATTTGAATGCCTCTCAACTTATAAAGCATACTATCTATCAATCAATAATTTTTTAATACCATACATATTGTATCTTTCTTTACACAAAATATAATTATTTTGAGTTTAATATTTTTATTAATATCTTTATTATTGTTAAAATTGGATGTAAATTAAGAAATCATTTTTTAAATGTCAAATTTATAGTAATCTTTTATTTTAATGAATAATAATGTCTTTAAATGGTATTTATTTAAATTGCTGCACTATTAATAACTGTTTAACAAACAAATAAAACTTTTAATTAATTCAGTGCTTAATATAAAAGTTTGTGTATAAATGTTGTAATATTTTTATATCCTTCTTTAAGGTCTCAACAGTTGTACAAAACTATATGTCTATCAATCATAACTGAAAATATCATAACCTTATAATCCATCGTCAGTTTAATACATATTGCTATCGAAACACAAAATTATTTTTATTATTTATTTCATAAAAATTTTATTCTTATAAAAGTCATTAAGAAAAAGTTCGCTTATATTGTTATGTCGTTTCTTCGTCTATGAAAAAATAACTTTTTAATTAACATTTTGAGTGAAAAAATATAACAATTATAAACATTTTACACCAGTTTTTCTTACAAAACTTTGCCCAAAAATATAAATCAAAAATATTTGTACATTTCTATAGTAAACATAATAATCTGTACTTAAATTTATTAATAAAAATTGATTTATCTTTGACTAAATTATAGCTCATCTTTTAGCTTCTGAGGGCTGAGACACCTCTCATTGGATGCAATGATGACGTGATGATAGAAGTTGACGAGTTTCATATAGTTGTCGATTGAAATGCGCTCATTGTGTCCGTGAATGCGGGGTAAGTCAGCCATCGATATATACGCGGGAGAGAAACGGTATATGTTTTGCGTGAAGTTGAGGAACCAACGCGTGTCCGTCGCCGCTGTCATTACGCCCGGGATTACCACCACATGAGGGAAGACCTGACGGATACTCTTTTTGATGGTCTGAAAGCCAAAGCTTTTGTCGCCGTAGGGAGAGATGGGGTGCGGCTCTATGGGAACGCCGAGCACTTCAACACTGATGCGCTCGTCGTCCACAACCTCTCTGTCGTATTCAAGCGTTTCGGACACTGAACTCAATGGGTATATGCGATGGTTTATAGTGGCCGACGCCTCGTCCGGTAATATATTGTCCTAAACAATGGTCAACATTATGTCTGTGTTTTTGGTTTTGTGGACACATTTGAAAAAATAAAATTCTCAGCAAATGTATAGTAAAAGCACTCGATTTCTTATGCACTAATTATTATTGTACGTAAAGTTAAGTAATTTGTATGCATTTTACGCAATGTATTTGCGAAATACGTGCTAACCTTAACGCCGCTCTTAAACATTGTGACCGCAGTTGTAGTCCTCACATAACTATTCATCACTAAATGATTTTCTAATAATTTTGAGACAAACGGTCCGAAGAGCCAGAGATTAGAGAACAGCACTTTGTAGACGAGTGAACAATACGGGGCCAGAGCTTCGATCATGTCTTTCTCGAGACCTCTGCCGAAGTAGTTTGGATGCGTGTGTCCGCCAAACTTCGACAACTTCTTCGACAGACTCACTATCGATGTCTCCATCGGCGGTACAGAGGAGTGACCGACAGCGCCCTTAGCCGTGAGCTTGACATTCATGAACCCCTTTTCGGTCACTCCTATCATAGCGACCGAGCGATCGGTGCCTAATATGACTCCGTTTAATATGAAGGGTCCCTCATCTAAGATATACTCAAATTCGTTGATCCCAATTGACCTCAAGTAGTGGGAGGTTTGTTTGGCGCCGTCGAGACCTCTGCCCTCTTCGTCGTGACCTATGGCTATATATAAGGATCTTTGAAATGAAAATCTATTCTCGAGTAAGAATTCAAGTGATTCTAAAAGTCCCTAAACGTGAGAATCGGATTCATTTAATAAAAACACTTTTAGGATTTCATTTTTTGTTTTGAATGCAAATATTTAATACCATAACCACATCTTTAAGGTCAACAGTGCCTCTGCCATAGATATAGCCGTCTTTGACAATACCCCCAAATGGTGAGACATCCCACTTGTCCTCCTGTGCGGGCACCACATCCAAGTGCCCTAACAGTAGATAAGGCTTTAGGCTCTTATCAGAGCCAGAGATATGATAGAGAAGACTTCGTTCATTGATTATCTTGAGTTCAACCAAATTGGATGAATGAACTAATGGGAAGCCTATTGTGTTTGAAACAAACAATTATTTGTGATAATTATTTCTGCAGTCATTTCTATTTATAATATTTAATGCATTTATTGACAAATTTAACATAAAATTTGACTTTTTCTCAGTAAAACAAGTAATAAAAATGATGATAAAATGAAATGAATTGATTAATACAATACTTCGATTCAAGAACTCAATAAATAGCTGTATTTGATGTGAATCGTAATCTTGAGGCGCTTTAGTGATTGTCTTGAATCTAAGCGCTTGAATGAATCGGTCGACGACATGCCTCTCATCAGTGATTGGTTTGTGTTCATCGATATTCTCACAATTGATTAACTCTTGCGGTATAGAGAAGTATAAAGTGGTTCTCAGAACCAGTATTGCCATAAGAGTGGCACCGATTCCGGCGACAATTAGAGCACATTTTGTTAACAATAGTTTTGCCATTTTTTGCGAAATATAATTAATACGATATCTCTTTCTCGAAACAAATGGTATAAAAACTGCATCAAAAAGTGCTTCACAAAAAGTCAGAGTCAAGTATTTTTAATTGATAACTAAAGTCAATATAAAGTGGGTTAAAGATAACATGGTTTTTTTGCCAAGTGCTTTTTTCACACTATAATATTCTCATGTTTTATATAATATAACAAAATATTTATATTGAATTCAATACGAATGGGGAAAATGAATACACAGAGGAAAATATGTTTAATTGAATATCAAAAAATCGGGAACACATTCGTAGAAAATAATCATCAATAGTATTGATTGAATACAATGTGGAGTAGGTTTCGGATTATTTATAACAAATTCCTAATTATTTTAAATCCTTCTCTCATTACAACACCATATTATGTTTGACAACAAATTGAGAACATGTCTGATATGATTGCAAATTAATGAATAATTCTCTAAAAAATAGCAAAAACAGCTTTAAAATTTCTATAACTTATCAATATTTTCAATACTGTATGCATTGAATACAAAGGCATTCATTTACATAATTTAATCGCAACTTTTAAAGATGAGATACAAGTTTTTAGAAAATAAAAACTATTATATTCTGGTTATCATATGCACAGTACAGTACAGTACCATTACGTATGATTGTACTTGTGGTCTGAAATCCTTGTCAACAATCTTGGTTGGCGTCAACACATCAAACGCATAATTCTTGCTTAATGTCTGTTTTTGTCAATTGTTTCATTGGAATCGTTGAACACATTTCTGGGAACCGTCGATACTATCGGCGCTCAACACTTTAGATGTACACCACTTCACAACTTTATTGCCCAACACTGACACCACTCGCACTTCAAACCAGAAAACCACTTTTAATTGTTCCGCAAATTCATTGTAATTGTCTCTTAAAACATATGAAAATGTGATTCCGATGTTGTTTTTGAATACGAAAATTCATTGAAATGAGTTAACGTTTTTGTGTGAATCTGTTGATAGTGTACTTGAAATGTTGAAATGTTTGGTTTTGTTGGCATAACTCCCAGAAATGCATACAAGAATTTGTAGATATATTCTCAAAGTCGTTGTGAACTGATTTTCATGTCATTTCCTTCTCTATCTTTCGGAAAACTTTGTTTTTGTTATTTTTTGTTTCATTTTCTCGTATCACTAGTCCTTCTCTTCCTGTCCTTATAATACATTGAAATAAATACAAAATACACAACAAATCAATAATAATTTACGTTTTTATTAATTTTCAATAAACAAATTCTCAAAAACAATGAGTTTTTATTTTGCAATTAGACAACAATTAATTTAATGGCGCATAAAATCAACTAATTATTCATAAATAATATAAAAACTCGTTATTTATAAATAAAAATTTACATATAGTTTAGTAAATCAAGTCATTTAGTGCAACAATTCTTATATAACAAGCATTTAGTTATCATATATCAAAGGGGTTTGTGTTTTATGTTGTTTTTGTGTCAATCCTTTGCACAGCAAAAGAGTGGTTCCTTTTCTGGACATAATTTACAGGCAATTCATTGACCACTAAATCATTACTTCACACCAAATATTTTACTCAATCATTGTTTTCCGGCGTTAAGTGTTAGGGAAATAAACGGCGATAAATAACAGGATCTAAAAATGGGCTCTCATTTTACAAAACAGTTAAAATTGATGATAAAAAATGTATAATAAAAACCAATGATTGAATAAAACATTGCATAAGTGCTCATAAAAAACAGTGGTTTACAATAAATGAATAAAACCTTTTAGTTGCGTAAAATGTCCGACATTTTAACATTAATTATTTTTTGTATTTTTATTTGTATTTTCTCACAAACCAAAAAACAATTTGATTTATTCTTAAATATTATAAACAATTAATTTAATGACAACTTTGTGTTTATCATTCAATAACTCCAATATAAATATATCAACCATTAGTTTGTAACAGATTTGTTGTTTTTATCATTTCATCTCAAAAGTTATGCTAAACTTACTCTCAATACACAGTATTGTTTAATAAGAAATAAATTAGTATTTGTTTTAATGTATATCAATATTCAATAATTATATCTAATATTACATTAAATATACCACAAAATTGTATAATAATTACTAAATCGATAATTGAATTCTAGAAAACACCTAAAAATGAGGGAATCTTTATATTGAATGAGAAGAAGAACTCAAGTTAGCGATCGCTATATTATATATATATTTATATAAGACATACATTACTTGTATGTGAGTTAGGCTTTTATGTTAGAAACAAGTTATGAGATTAACATTTAACATCAATCCCATAATACAAATATCATTATTATATTAAATAACATTTAAATAAGTGGAAAAATGTTTCTGAAAAAACACATTTTGTTTAAAAATGAAACAAAACTAAGAGTTACTGTTTTTTACATAATTATAAATTGAAATATTCAATACAACATTTAATGCACAAAATTTAATTTGTATTACAATTCTTCTCCAAACAAGTGTTCAAATTTGCGTTCATTTTTGTATGTATTTTTACCGCACAAACAAAATATGTGCAACAATTTGGCCAAAAATCTCAACACTTATTCAGTGAATAATAAAAATTAATATATTAATCAATTATATAGAAATGAAATGATGAGAAAATGAATATATATTTTGGGGTAACAAATGGTTATCGCCAATGAACTAAAAGCTCATTTTGTGTTAACATTTAATTATAATAAGTGTTATTATAATTAATAACTATTTTTCATTAAATAAGTTCTGTATTAAATACAGCACACAATTAAAACAATAATTAACTCTAATTTAATTGCTTCAATAGAAACGATTCAATATATAGTTGTGTCTCAATTAATAATGTGATTGTGATTTATAAAGCGTTTATAATATATGATCAAAGAGTGTAACAAAACAGTCGCTTTCATACAATTCATTACAATTCGTGTATTTAAAACAACTCAACAAATATTTAGTTATCTTTAGTTAAAAACTCTCTTTTGATTCTCAATTCAGTACTAAATGATTATTTATAACCAATAATTCATAAAATATATAAAAATCTGATCAGTATTTCGATAGAAAATCCATCGAAATGTTGATTCAAAAGTCGTTTTTAAATTAATTCACGGCTTGAGCGCAAACAAGACTAGAATTTCTATGAATATCATAATTAACGCTAAACTCAATTTGTTAGTGAGTTTCCTTTTACCATATTCTTTATATTCTTACAAACAATTGACAAACAATTCGTGTTTGAATTAATCAAACAAACAATTGTTTCCAATTTTAGATAATTATATTAAATTACAAAAACAACTGTTCAACCAATCAATCGATAGATCAATAAATTGGTTAAACATTCGGTACAATAGTTATATTCAATTCGTTTAACACTTCTTCGGAAATAGCGCTATAATAGCGGCGCAAATGTTTTGCGGATTTGTCTCTTCGGGACACAACTCCATAGCAGTCCTCACCTGATCCTTAGGAAAGATGGACGACAAATGGTAGTAGAGTTTGCGTCGCGAGTCGTTCTGAAGGTTTGGCGAAACCGGTCTCATCGGTCGGAGAGCCTGCGGCTGATGTATTGCGGCCTTAAATTCGTGCAGCGGAACACTCGACGGCCTCACCGGCGCCGCCGACATCGAGTTGTGGTGATATTGCGATGAGTTATCCGATCGGTTCCACGGACTCGACGGAACGGGTGGCACAATAAGACCTCCGGAACTCGTAGACCATATTTGATTGGGAAAGGGAGCGGGCGGTGGAGTCATGTTGAGCCGCGTGTCTGACGTCGAATTGAGTCTTCCCATCGATGGCGAGCAACTGGACGGCCAATTCGACGAGGAGTCCGGTGCCGATGCATTGCGTGTGACTAATGTATGCAACGAGTCCTGCGATTGGGCCGTTTGGTATTGAGTGTTGGGCACGTAGAGTAGGTTTTGCCTCTGCATATTGGCCAGAGTGGGCCCGTCAGAGCCCATGCGTCTCAGCTGCTGATGTGAGTCTCCGCCCGACAGTCGGTTTTGTTTGGTTCCGATGGGCGCACAAACACCCGATGAACGGTCCGATCGGTTGTGTATTAAGTTATGCTGCAGTGCTTGAAGTCTTGGGTCGTAATTGGGATTTAGCGTTAACTGTCTCTGAAGTTTTGGGTGTAAATTCTCAGTACTCTTGCGCTCGGAATTGTGAGACTTATCGGGAAACATATGTCTGACAAATGGCTGAGTAGTGAACATATTGTGGTCGTCTTCGAGTGGTAATGATTTGCTGGGAATCACAGATTTGGTTCGAGAAAGCGGTTCCTTTTTGCGCGACATCTCACCACTCATCTGAAGCGGTAGACTATGAGTGATCTTCAGCTTCGAGTCGCCGGGCGATGACTCCCGGCTTTTGCCTCTCATCTTCATCTCCTGGATCTGGATCTTCGCCTGTTCTGCGAGTCGTTCGGTGACCGACTTATGCGGTTGATTCCCCCTCTCCGGGTGATAGTATTTACATTTGTTACCATACGTACACTTCTTGCCGTAAGGACACGGAGGCGGCAATACGTCGGGCGGTTTGGGCCGTTTGCGCAGAAAGTTGTTAAGTGAGGGCCCGTGACGGCCGAGCGGGTCGTCGGGTGGCATAAACCGGTCGTTTACGAACGAATACATGAGTAGCCGCTCTTCGACCACCTTTTTGTACTCTGGGTTTTCGTTTGTGAGATCTCTATAGTTGTCATTCGACACAACGATCCCATCGTTTTGTGCCGCGAGTTTCAGAATATAGCGGTCGTCGTAACAAACCATACGACGGCCGCCGACATTACGCGACGGCGTAAACACCAACAGTCGCTCGGCTTCCAGTTGTGACAGAATCTCTTGGTCTTTGATGGGAGCGTCAGGTCGGGCCACCTCTTTGCGCCACATCGGCACAAACACTATGATCTCTCGGTGTCCGCGCGCCTGAAACCATTCCACACAGATTTTGATGCCCATACAAGAGAAGCACACTTTATTGCCGTGACTGACGGCAACGTTACTGCCGTCGATCACAATTGGCCTCAGGTTTAGACTGTCGTTGTCTTCGTCGCTAATCGTGTCGTTAATCAAAGACGAAACTAATGTTTTTCCTAAACCACTGAACACTGAAATATTACTTCCGCCGCCGGTGTTGCCGGAGCCCAGTTTGATGAGTTCGGCCAACAACTCGTTCTGACCGGCCGACGGACCCAACTTCATGAGCGCGATCTGCACCTGAGTCTCACTGTAGCCCAGTTTGAGTGCAAACTCCACTGACTTTATGTAATTCGGATCACATATAATCAGATCCAGAAGAGTCGGCTGCGGCATAGGACTGGTGGTGACGTATTCGTCGTACTCCTGTCCCAACGTGTCGGATGCGGTTCGCGACACTTCGTCGTGATGTCCGCCACTGAAGCCACTCTTCGCGACGGTCGACGACTGTTGGTCCGCATCGTTGTTCTCGTAGTCCGAGTCATAACTGGAGTCTTCCGACTCGAGGAGACGTCGCAACGGCTTCTCATCGGAGGTCCAATTGGCGGAACCGGAGGTTATGGCAGTTGTGGTGCCGATTGAATCGTTTGAATCCATTGAATGGTTTGGTTCGTTGGACACACAGTTATCCAACGCATCACATCCTAAGTCCACTTAAATCCTGAGCGCAACGAAAAAAATTGGACCAAAAATATTAAAGAAAATGCAAAAAACAGCACAATCTTTGATATCGTAGAGAAGACTACATAGGAATTGGGTTGTTATGGGAGTGTATGGAGAGCTCCAGCACTGGAGTCAGCGCTCGTCTCAAGAGATAAGCGATTAAAAAAAAGTATAACAGTTTTGAAAAATATCATTACATATCTTCATATATAGCATACATTGCGAGAGAGGTGTATGTCTTGTGAAGGAGTGCACAGAATAGCTCCGTATGTGTTGTAAGGAATGGGAAGGAATGGGCAAAATGCAAGGCTGGGCACTGAGAGCACAGGCAGAGAGCACTGTAATACTGTAGGTCCGGTTGCAGGTAATCTAAGCAACATATCCTGTTGGGGAACAGGATCTTCGCCACCAATGCATTGCTGCCAAACACACACTTCAATGCATACAAGACATACACTCCAAGACATACATTAACATAAGACTCACTAAAATCGTGATTTCGTGAACCACTCACTATTCGCAAGACATTGCTTTTGAGCCGGATTTCAGCCTATTCTCAGACCCACTTCTCTCCCACCAACCTCTATAGCTCTCTCTCTCTCTCTCTCTCTCTCTCTCTCCCGACCTCTGTGGCTCTCCCGGGACATAGACTCGTGTATTGTATACACAATGTATCTGACAATTGATTATGAAAAATGAAAACTCGGATCCAAACCTCATATAAGAAGTAAACTCTTTACTGCCAAACATGAAAAACACATCCAATTGTTTATATAGTTTATAGCAAGACATAGAGTTTGCCATTGAATGCTCGCATTTAAGTGATTGATTGTGTAATGAATGCATTCATATGTGGAGTAATTGGCATTCATATGAATGGGACGACAATTACCGTGTGATTAGGTATTGCTATGACATCCCATAGACTGTGCCCTACATTACACACACCACCACCTCTTATACATCAATACATCACTTAATGGGTCTAAACATCACTAAAAATAACACTTCAAACGCTTATCGTATTCTCGTATATATAATACTCAACACAAAACAGATAGCGATATAACGATGTAATCAAATAATAACATAACAATTGTATGAATACATACATTGTGTGCAAACATCCGGTTGTCATCCGATGTCCTCTCCATAAACCATAAAACAGTAAATCTCTATAAATAGTGGACACAAACGGGTCGTCGACTCTCACACATCACCAGATGGTGTCTTCGGCTTCCCATCGATCGCACAATACGTTCAATACAACACTCTTTGACCGCTATTTAGACGCAAAACAATACATATGAATATATCTATTGCTATGAAAACATGCAAAACAACACTTGAATGCAATGTTATATAACAAACAATTACAGTATTATTGTTGAAGTAGTGGTTGTGATGTCTGTGAGTGAGAGTGTGTGAGATGTGTGTCGATGTGTGTCTCGGGTGTGAAGTTTGCTTCACTCGCAGCCAAAACCAGTCTTTCAGCCCAAATGTTGGGACACTTTATACACAGTATTATAATAACAATAATACGATCGCAAACCCAATGCCAATGCAAATGGCGTTCAAAACGTATATAACAGTAAATATTACATAACGTGTTGTCCACTAATTACGACACTATTTGCACGGCTTTCGTAAGCCTATGGGCTATAGAGTGGGGAACGCGTTGTTGTGACTCAAACTCATGGATTCACCCGTCAATTGGTTACATAACGCCTACAGTTTAGTCCCCGTATTAATACGTTTACGTATTTATAAACTGATTTGCACTCAATTGACATCCAGTCGTTTCATTGCTTTTATATTTACGTCAAATATATTTATATTTATTACACGATTGAGATATAAATTAGACAAAACTTGTAAACTCATTGTTAAATCCGTATCCTATTTATCAATCAATTTTAGTGCAACTGATTGTTAGCCTTATTTCCATAAATGATGACAAACTCTTACAAAACTTTTTTTATTGACGATATTTTATTATTTCAATCATTAGCCCATATCTTGCATCCAAACTGTTCCCAAAAAAACATAGTAAAGACATCAAAACACATTGAATTCATACTTTCAACACTCGATTAGGCCATCACTTGTGAGGGTCAACGCAAATACCAGTCCATGAGATGTGATTGCATTGACATTACATCACTTATTGGCTCAAAATAGTGCAATTCATTTGACACACTCTTTGTTCATATATACATATTATCTAAATATATCGCATTTGCATTGAGTTATTCATTCAATGATTTATTGATATACTTGTGTTAAGAAATAGAAATGTTTATTAACTGTTGCTTTAAATACAATTACCGGCAAATTATGAATTAAATTTGTATTTCATATTTCAATCATTAAAAACAAGGATTAAGTATAGGTTCGGAGATGTGGTACAAGTTTTAGACATATATTTATCACTTCTTTAAAATTCATTCATACAAATCAAAAATAAATAATTTTTCATAAGAAAATCATTAATATGTTTACAGAATAGTATTATTTGCTGGATATTGTGTTATGAATTAATTGACTTAAAAAACAAATCTATTGAGTTTTACCTACACTTTATGACAAATGAGAATACAGTGTGATATCGATATATGAAAAGCAGTATTTGTGTTATAAGTTACGAAATAAATCACTAAAATGTGAGACAATTACACGACTTTAATGTCGTTTTATTAACAATTTTTGTGTAATTTTTTGAATAAAATTTGTTTCTTATAAAACAAAAAACCGAATGAAAACATTGAAAAGAAAAATCATTTTTAAAAATTTAACACAAAATCATAGATAAAGAGAAGAAAGAGTGAGAGAAACAGAGTTTGTATCATATGATGAGAGACAGTCTTCTACTACTTCTCTTCGCACCACTCGTTCTCTTTGCGGACCTGTTCTTCCTCTTGAGGGTTGAAGTCGTTCTTAATGTTGAACGTCTTGCGGATCTCTTCGGGAGTCTTACCTTTGATCATATTGGCCACTGTCTTACACGTCACGTCCAACAGACCTTTTTGCGGACCTGTTCTTCCTCTTGAGGGTTGAAGTCGTTCTTAATGTTGAACGTCTTGCGGATCTCTTCGGGAGTCTTACCTTTGATCATATTGGCCACTGTCTTACACGTCACGTCCAACAGACCTACAAACACATCAAACACACCATTAGTACAACACAAGACAAAGCACACAATGGCGTCAATGGGCGCCACAACGAGACAATAGACACATACCTTTGATGTCGAGGTAGTTGGCGGCGAGGATCAGCTCGAAGAGAGTGCCCTGGTCCACTTTGAGGAAGTCCGCGTCCCAACTGCTGATATCGTCGGTGCGCTTCTCTTTGTTCTCGTCGTCGTCGGGCGTCGGCGGGTCGTCCTTATGATAGGTCGCCCATTGGATCACTTTCTTCAGTATCGTTGAGTTCACGTTCGGCAGCGGCACCACCTCTTCGTCCTCCTCATCCATTCCCAAGTCCTCTAACATTGTCTTTATAGTGACCGACAGTTTGGCGATCTCTACGTCCACATCAAACACCTCTCCGTCACTGCTCTGCAGCTTAATGTTGGGCATCGTTGATGACAAGTGGATCACTGGATCAGTTCAGTGGTGAGCAGCGATCGATCGGACGCTTAAATCTGGTATTCAATCAAACGTTTGGTTTGAAATCAATAGAAATGAGTCAACAATTTGTGTTGTCTTTGAGTCGAACTCACAGTAAATATACGTTTCGCTCGTTTTGTACGCAAATAAAACTGTTTCAGTGTTTCGACCACTCATTCAATGCAATCAATGCTTGACTCAAACACTAGATTTTTGTTTCACGTTATTTATTGACGCAATTTTTGGCAACGATTTTCATTCGCAATGCGTTCGGGTTTTTGCCACAACTTTTGGTACTTTTTGTGACACGAGATTTGGCACTCATTTCCGCACTCCTTATAGCCATAAAAAGGTCTGAATTTTTTGCTTTTTTAATAAATTTTCCTAAAAAATTGATTTTCGATTTGTTTCAACTCCTCATAGAATACAGTGTTTATGACTAATTTGTAGTCATTTCCCATTGGATTTCTATGGCTTATTAGAACAAAATATATTGCCGTTGCCTTCGCTTAAAGTTCACGTACAGTCAAACTCCGTTACACGAAACTACACTACATGTACATGGATTTAGCCTCGGATTAGCGATTAATGGATAGAAAATGGATTATCCTATGAGAAGAGATGGGATTATAATGGGATGAATGAAAGTGAATGTGAAATTAAAAAGATTTTATTTGTGTTCAATGTATAGTGTGTTTGAGTGGTTTGACTCCATTTGCAGTTAGACTGTGTGTGTGCTGTGAATGAGAGGCGTATTTAGTGCTAAACATGAATAGTTTGTATTCAATATACAGTTTGTGTGAAGCGTTTGGAAGTGTGTGAGAGATGTGCAGTAAATGCAGTCAAGAGTATTGTGTATTTGGTTTGCATTGAGAGTGCATTCAATACATTCAAGCATTAAATAACATCACATCTGATGCCAAGAGATCTCAATATATAACAGGAGTTGTGTTCAAGCAATCAATTCGTTAACTATTATTATAATCAATGGATTTAATCGCTGTTTAAACACTCAAATACACCACTCATTCATTTACTATACATTATATGTGTTTTCTCTCTAACTATTGATTCATATATTTATTTATTTATTATTCATTGAAAGCATATATTCATCGAAAGTGTTAGTGTTTTGTAGTGTTGTATCACTTCTTAATTCATCCATTGATTAACTGATTCATCGGTTGATTGTTAACACATATAAGCGGCTGTTAGTGTGGACCAAATCAGTGGTGTTTCGCCCGTTTGGCCGCAAACTCGACGCCTGAAGAAAGCCATTCCAGTTGTCCCGTCGGAAGACAACCCCCTTTTTGCTGTGAGACGAGCGGTCAGACCAACCACTGACCGATCTATCGATGAGTTCAATGGCCGCACACTCGGGTCAGACGCTGAACGATCGGCTGAACGCCGCCCGCTATGCGTTGGCCGGACAGGGATTGGCTCGAGTGGTCTGTAAGGCGACCACCGAAGAGGTGAGCGGACCCAAGAAGAAGCACTTGGACTACCTGTTACAGTGCACTCACGAGCCCAACGTATCGATACCCCAATTGGCCAATCTATTGATTGAACGCACGAACCACTCGTCGTGGGTCGTGGTGTTCAAAGCGCTGGTCACTGTCCACCACCTCATGTGCTACGGGAACGAGCGGTTCACGCAATACTTGGCCTCCAGTAACTGCACGTTTCAATTGAGTAACTTTCTCGACAAGACTGGTGTCAAGGGCTATGAAATGTCCACTTTTATCAGACGATACGCTAAGTATCTCAACGAAAAGGCCTTCTCCTACCGAACCGTCGCTTTCGACTTCACCAAAGTTAAGAGAGGGTATGCGCGACCACACCCAACACCCCCTTCCCAATCGCCCCCCTCTCTGGCCACCCATTTACTGATCATCACTTTCCTGTCACTCCATATCCTCCCCCCAAACAAACTCTTGTTTTCTAATCTGAACGCAAAGTTAATAGTATTTTATGGTTTACTTTTAATTGGAAAAACTTTTAAATTAGATTTTAATTGGCTTTTATAATTAGTTTCATAATTAGTCCACAGCTTTGAGTGAAAGTAATGAAAAGTGAATTGAATGTTAATATATGGCAAATGCAATGCAATACAAACAAAACCGATACTAATCGCGATTATTATATGAAATAGTGTTACGCTTTTCATACAATTGAAAGTGATTTTGACGGACAAACATAACACATAAACAAAGATTATAGCGATATTTGATAGCATACTTCACACACAAATATATCATTAATTACTTTTGCGGTTACGATTAGAGAGACAATTGTTGTATTGTTTATTGAATATGTGTTGATTTGATGTCAACACATGTCGTGTCTCTGCGTTTTGTAATACATGTCTATTATGTGTCCCGCGGTATAGGAAAGAGGACGGATCGTTGCGTACTATGAATACCGATAAATTGATTAAAACGGTTCCCACTCTTCAATCACAAGTCGACACATTGCTTGAGTTTGACTGCAATGCCAACGATCTAACCAATGGCGTCATAAACGCCGGCTTTATGTTACTCTTCAGAGATCTGATCCGTCTGTTTGCCTGTTATAACGACGCGATTATTAACTGTTTGGGTATTGAGATAAATGACATTTATATTGATTGATAGATTTATATCATATTTGTTACATATTATATGATTTAAATATAGAAATCGATTCCTTTTTAGTGTTCAATAATTAATGCGAAAATGTTTTCTCTTTTTTATTATTCATGAATTTTTGACGAATGGATGGATAGAGAAATTTTTTGATATGAATAAAAAGCAGGCCCGGGAGGCACTCGACATATATAAAAAGTTTTTGATCCGAATGGACAAAGTGTGTGAGTTCTTGAAGGTGGCCGAGAATGTGGGCATCGATAAGGGAGAGATTCCCGATCTGACCAAAGCCCCGAGTTCTCTATTGGATGCTCTCGAACAACACTTAGCACAACTCGAAGGCAAGAAAGGACAGTCAGCTTCAAAGTGAGCCCCACTTTTCCTCCCAAACACTGTATCACTCCTACAACAGACGGTTTTTTGTCGCTAACTTTTCATTACTATTTTACCAGAATTTTTTAGTTGAGATTAACACATGTTTTATGTCTAAAAAGTTTTATTTATGACTTTTTATTATTTGAAGTATTTATTAGTGTTTTGAATACAAATCCAATGCATGTTTGATCCGCTGACTAAACATAAGTACACGACAAATGCAATTTAATACTGGAATTGATATAAAACATCATAAATATTAGGAATTATTATATAAATTTCAGCACAAAATACCGTCTGTTTGTAATGAAATGTTTGCCATTAGTCTGAATGAAAAATAATTTATTAACAATTTGTTTCTAAAATAAGTACATCTCAACCAACAAATGGCACGTCTTCTTCTAACGGCGCGATTGCCAGCGATTCCTTCAACGGCGCCGTCAAAGAAGACACTTTGAATGTGGGCATCGATAAGGGAGAGATTCCCGATCTGACCAAAGCCCCGAGTTCTCTATTGGATGCTCTCGAACAACACTTAGCACAACTCGAAGGCAAGAAAGGACAGTCAGCTTCAAAGTGAGCCACAATTTTCCTCCCAAACGCTGTATCACTCCTACAACAGACGGTTTTTTGTCGCTAACTATTCATTAATATTTAACCAGAATTTTTTAGTTGAGATTAACACATGTTTTATGTCTAAAAAGTTTTATTTATGACTTTTATTATTTGAAGTATTTATTAGTGTTTTGAATACAAATCCAATGCATGTTTGATCCGCTGACTAAACACAAGTACACGACAAATGCAATTTAATACTGGAATTGATATAAAACATCATAAATATTAAGAATTATTATATAAATTTCAGCACAAAATACCGTCTGTTTGTAATGAAATGTTTGCCATTAGTCGGAATGAAAAATAATTTATTAACAATTTGTTTCTAAAATAAGTACATCTCAACCAACAAATGGCACGTCTTCTTCTAACGGCGCGATTGCCAGCGATTCCTTCAACGGCGCCGTCAAAGAAGACACTTCCGTCAAGAAGGCTCTCGAAGAAGAGGAACAAATGCTTAACAGATTAAAAGTACGACAAGTCTTGTTAATTGTATTATTAGTTTTCAATGTTATGTCACGTAGTTTTGCTTTCAATAGTTGTGTGCATTTTGTTTGCATGCTTTTGGTCTTTAAAGGTGACGGTATTTTTCATAAAAATAACTATGTTTTGCATTTTTCTCTCTATTTTGTTGATCAATGTTTGCACCAATTGTTATGTTAAATGCCTGTCCATTGCCTGCATTAGAATAATAGTTTGGCTGATTTTGACTCTCCTTTTAATTGGACACAAGACAAGTGGTGTGATTTGGTTAGTAGTCTAACATTTAAATTATATTGCATTCAATACTAACTCTTTAATTACGGTTTACTTGTATTGTAAAATAATTTGTTTGGTTTGAAAGCTAACAGAATCTCTAATTGCTGATTGTTTTGTTGAATTAAATGGTATTAAAAGTTGTAATATTAATGATATGTAAAATTGGGGTCAAACAGGAGAGGCATTTGCAGGATAAAGATGGGGACAAAAAGGCAAACAATCCGTTCTTATCGATGTCGCCAACGGCTGAGTCGAAGACGTCTCCGACTTCGGAGAGCAAAAGTCAGGGATTATTAGATTTTTTCACTGATTCTGAAACGAGTATTAGTACTAAGAGTGTGAACACCAATTCAGGCAAAGCGAGTGACGACCTATTATTCCTGTCGAACGCCAACCCATTCGCCGATATATTAAACGCTGCCATATCTAACGCACCGCCGCCACAGGCGTACCCCTCGATGGCGCCCACTATGGCTCAGCCAACAATGGTTCCACTCATTCAGAACCAACCATTCAATGGGATGCCAACGAACGGCAATAACATGTTCGCGTCGGAGGACGGATTCGCAGCCGCATTCGGTAAAAGGGACACAACCTCTGCCTCAGGTATGCATTAGTTTTAGTTTAGTTGTATTATTCGGTTTATAAGTTCTTACAAAATCAACCGTAAAGTGTTGACCAATACTTAAGGGAAACCCTCAGTCAGTGTTTGTCTGAATAACTATTTCCAAAAATATATCAATTATTGTCTTTTATTATTCGTATTCATGCCTTCCTATCCGAAGGATCTAAAGAAGAGGGTAAGTGTTGTCTTGATATTCTTTGAGCTCAATATTCAATTGGTTTCTATGGTTTTATTCAACAATCATTTCCAAACTCCTAACCAAAGTGTCAGATCATAGAACGGATACAATTACCATCACTTCGGCTGATGATCCAAATCTCTCCACTTCTCCGTCGCCCACTCAAGACATTATAAGAGGGGCGGGAACTACGCCTATACTTCCAATACCCGATCACGGCTTTGGTGAAGACAGTGGTATCGATGAAAGCAATACTTCCCGCGGCAATAGCCCGTTACCGGCGTCGGCCATATCAGCGCCACCGCCTTCTGGAGAGAACAGTCCTTTTGCGCAATCTTTTGAGGCCAACTCGGCTTCCTTTGCGGCCACATTCGGAGAGACCTCCGACGGCGCCGTAAAGACAGCGCCTTTACGGCCTCAGCCGCCATCACAACATGACATGGGTATGGCCTCAGGGGCTGCTCCCGTTCGACCCCCTCCTCCTTCGGGCGCCAATATAGAGCACGGCTTTGAAATGAGCGCAGAATTTGGCGATGAGTCAACCGGTTTTGCACCGGCTATGGGCGGCGGCCCTATCATTGGAAACATACCATTCGCCGCATTTGATGCCAATCAGCAGCAGTACATTATTCAACAACAGCTACTATTTCAACAGCAACAGAGGGCTATGTCTTCGCCTCAAATGCAGCAAAAACCGGCTAAAAAGGCGTCCGCTTTCGAGGATTTAGATTTTGCGATGAGAGAGACAATGAGTAAACCCCAGAAACCAGTGGGCGCTCAACCACAACAACAGTCTACTTCGCCTCCGAGTGCAGTCCCGCCCGGATTAGTCTACGTTCCTCCGGGAACTGTTCCGCCAGCGGGCTATATAGTGATGCCCGGAATGCCGTCTTATGGAATAGCAACCGGTGCTGCAGGTCTTGCACTTTCATCTGAGGGTTTCCTTATTATTTGTTTATTCATTTGTTTCATTTGTCACCACTTTATTTGATTTTTTACATTTTATTAGTCATATTTGTATTAAACATTTTTATTAACTAATAATCATTTCCAATAGGTTTCGATGCATTCGGAGATGTATTACAGCCGCAAAATATGATGGCCAACAAAATGGGACAAACTGTACAAACGGGACCACAAATGGCGCCCATTGTTACCCCAAATACAGCTGTAAATGCAAATCAAAGTTTATTTAAAGGTGATTTAGATTCCAGTCTCGCGAGTTTGGCCCAAAATCTTGATATTAATGGACCGAAAGGATCGTTCAAAAAGTGTGTTCAAACATTTGACTCACATTTTTAAAAGTCTAACAATTGTTATCTTTACCGAAGACCTGGTCAGCAGTTTTCCAGCCCTAAAAACACAATAAAAACTGGCGCTCCTATACAGCCGCAGACACAACAAATGGCATGGAATGCTGGCCAACAAATGGGCGCCTGGAATGCTGGCGGTATGCCTATTGCCGCACAACCCGGTGCTGTTCCCGCCGGTGGTCAATGGCCCGCTGCTGCTGGTGTACAACCAATGAACGCTATGGCCTATGGAGTTCAGGTGAGACATTGTTTAATTACGTTAATTGGTTAACGTCTAAAGTATTGGCTATTTCTAACAGATGAGGCCGGGAATGGTATCAGGAATGCCGCCGGTGGGCGCTGGCCTTCCCGGTGCGATACAAGTGTTACCAAATACGACGGGACAGCGACCGGTCAACCCTGGAGTAGCGAACACACAGTCCGATCCGTTCGGTGCCCTCTAAATACGTGGCGAAAGTTTATTAAAATCTAAGTTAATATAAAATCATAACGTATTTGAAGATAAAATGAGTTATTGTTTTATTTATAGACTTTTTCGTGTAAATTGTCATTATTTTTAGAAATTTATTTTTTAAACCCCTTTCGAAATGGGATTACATGTCTGTTTCCATATCAGTGCGGATTTGCAATTGTTTTTACGTTATTTCACTGATTATTAATAGACGAAAACCATTAAAGAAAAGTTGTTTTTATTTTACGCCAAATTAAATCTAGTGTTAAATGATTTTTGAAACGATTTTTTGAATATTGATTTAGTTGTTGAGTAAACGCAAAGAACCAATCAATACATGTTTTGTTAATTTTTAAAATCTAGTAATTATTATTAATTTAACGAAAATTCCCCTCATTTTTGCCTTAAATCTCATTTGAAAGAACTTTATTTAATATTTGTTTTTAATTGCAAATTGTGAAACATTATATCCAACCAATGGATTGATTAGATAAACACATTAAATATATAAAAATAATACCAATAATAATGACTATAAGAATATAAGCTTTTATTTTAAGAGAGGAAACCAATCCATGTTTATGAAGAATATATCGAAAATATATGAATCAATCAAATAATAAAACTATTCCTTAATTTTAAATATCGATTATAATCGCAAACCAATACCTTTATGATGAAAACAATACATTCCACACAAACTAAAGCATAATTTATTTAATTAAATGTCTTTCTCTATACAAATATATATATAGAGAGAATATATATATATTAGGAATAAATAGTGGAATATAAAAAGTAAATTAAATTATTGTTATTTAATGATGAGTTGCAGTTAAATATTGCATATGAAATGAAGTATACATTAAAAAAGAAATAAACATTTATTTTCAATGATATAGAGAAATATGAAAGCAATTAATTAATTGAGTTTAAAATACAATACTTTTAATTATTAAATAACATTACAGTTTAATTGTACTGAAAAATAATATCATTTACATATAATTTAAGAATTGCGTGCGTTTTTATGCTTTTGATTATGAAATTTGTTTTAAAAAGTTTTTAAAATTGATTTTCAAATTCTGTACATTATATTAATTATGATTAAAAATTGAAAATAAATCTAATTTCACTAATAGTTGTGTTCATAATGTTATTCAATCACTGGTTGTGTATAAAATGTTCGCCAAAGGGATGTTCCCAACGAATATGACCTCCAGTTCCCCCGTTATATAATAAACTACTATATATTTTGTCCACACTTTGACTCATTTTTCATAAGTTTTCCACAAAGAAGTTTATCCAAAAAAACAAGTTTTCCATTAAAAACTTATTCATCAAATATTTGGTCACTTCTTATCACCAATTATTTGTCACATTTTGTTGGCAAGCATTCAATGATACAGTCGTATGGCTTTAAATGACTTTTATAGTGATTTATAATTAATACGAATATTGAATCCTTAAATAACTTATGGTTTGCAATAAAAATGCAATAATTCTCGCGATTTGTTAACTATTATATAAAATATTAATGAAAAAGTCGTCTAAAACATGTGATGAGCGAAAGGTAGACAAGAAATGTGTCCCTGAATTGTGTGAACGTTAGGACGAGTGAAAACGAGTGAAGATTTCTCAGTCTATATGGGATTCTGTGTGCACTTCTGTTTCGGTTCATTATATCAACGAGTCTTATGTGTCGATAAATAAAAGTAATTTATCGTTTGAAGTCATATATGCGTCGAGTCATGCGAATTGTGTGGATGTGAGAGCACTTTGGATGTGTGTTTGGATGTGGAGACAAACACTGCGCAAAGGCTGACATCATTTGCAAGGATATCGTCGCTCACTTGAGAACACGGCTATTG